ACGGTGGCTCATGCCTGTAATTCCAGCACTAAAAATACAAAAATCAGTCTGGCGTGGTGGCACGTGTCTGTAATCCTAGCTACTTGGGAGGCTGATGAAGGAGAATCGCTCAAACCTTGGAGGTGGAGGGTGCAGTGAGCCAAGATTGTGCCACTGCACTCCAGCGAGACTCCATCTCAAAAAGAAAAGGCCGGGCGCGGTGGCTCACGCCTGTAATCCCAGCACTTTGGGAGGCCAAGGCAGGTGGATCACGAGGTCAAGAGATCGAGACCATCCTGGTCAACATGGTGAAACCCCGTCTCTACTAAAAATACAAAAAATCAGCTGGGCATGGTGGCGCGTGCCTGTAGTCCCAGCTACTCAGGAGACTGAGGCAGGAGAACGTCTGAACCCAGGAGGCGGAGGTTGTGGTGAGCCGAGATCGCGCCATTGCACTCCAGCCTGGGTACAAAGGAAGAACTGCCTCGTATAAAAAAAAAAAAAGAAAAAAAAAGAAAAAAAAAATGAGTGAGACAGTGAGACTTAAATTGCTCATGTGCCTTCATGAAACTGAACATAGGTTATCTTAGATTTAGCCAGAGGACCAAGGTCACTTTGCTGAAAATACAGTGCAGGGGTCATGCATCCCATGGTGCCCGGACACAGCTCCCCAAACGGTGCTGCACTCACCATCTCCATGTGCTCCATGGGTGATGCTGGCTTGTGCCCAGGACTTTACCCCGCTTGGAACCGAAGGAGTGTTCTGGGGAAGTGTTCAGAGAGATGATAAATGATGATGTGGGTGGGGCATCTATGAGCCATTCTTCCCCCAACCCCTGAGTTCTCCAGGTACCTCGGGGGCTGCTGGGGGTCGTTTCGGCTGGTTGGAGGCAGGCGTCTGTGAAGCCGGCAGTGGCTGCGATTCCGGCGGCTGAGCGGTTGAGGCATCGGAACTGAGGGGATAGAATGGGAAGGTTGTTCAGGCTGAAGATGGCTCCCCGACTTCTCCAACTGGTGGAGACTTAGGACTGAAACTCTGCCCATTGCTGCCATTTACAAATTAAGAACAAAATAATTTTGTCATCCTTTGTAGGCTGTCATCTGTTTCTTCACGCTTTCTCTCCAAGACAAAAAGCTAAAGGTATCATTCCTTAGTTACGTAACAAGAAACCTACCACAGATAAGAAAGGAGCCTCCTTTGTCTCTGGTTCTTGTGTGGCTGGGATAAACCAAGCCCTAGCTCTCCCTGAAGTTCAAGTTAGAATACTCATGACTCTAAGTCCCCCAAGCCTCTGCTTACCTCTTGGGGTCGGACTGCTCCTGTTTGCTTGCCCATCCTGTTCCGTCTTTCGGCACTAGTGAGACATTGGGGTCATTGCCTTTGTTCTCGGCTTTCAGGCTTGGAAGGTTGGCTGGAGGTGGCATACGCCGGGCAATGGCAACTTTCCCGAGACTCTGCAGGCCATGGCGAGGGGCAACTGGAGAAAAAGATGGAGAGAGGGTCAAAAATGCCTCATATAGCAGATCTGATGGCCTCCCACCGTGGGCCACATTTATACATCTTGAATATTTTATTACCTACTTCCTCCAAACTTCTCTTAGAAAGGATCCCTTCTGCTGCCCCTAATAATCTCTGAAATCAGGCCAGGTGAGGTGGCTCACGCCTGTAATCCCAGCACGCTGGGAGGCCAAAGTGGGCGGATCACCAGAGGTTGGGAGTTCAAGACCAGCCTGACCAACATGGTGAAACCGTCTCTACTAAAATACAAAATTAGCCAGGTGCCAGGCGTCAGGCGTCAGGCGTGGTGGTGCATGCCTGTAATCCCAGCCACTCAGGAGGCTGAGGCAGGAGAATCACTTGAACCCAGGAGGCGGAGGTTGCAGTGAGCCAAGATTGCGCCATTGTACTCCAGCCTGGGCAACAAGAGTGAAACTCCATCTCAAAAATAAAAAAAATCTCGGCCTGGCGTGGTGGCTCACACCTGTAATCTCAACACTTTGGGAGGCCGAGGCAGGTGGATCATGAGGTCAAGAGATCGAGACCATCCTGGTCAACATGGTGAAACCCCGTCTCTACTAAAAATACAAAACATAGCTGGGCATGGTGGCGCGTGCCTGTAATCCCAGCTACTCAGGAGGTTGAGGCAGGAGAATTGCCTGAACCCAGGAGGCGGAGGTTGCGGTGAGCCGATATCGCACCATTGCACTCCAGCCTGCGTAACGAGCGAAACTCCATCTCAAAAAAAATAAAATAAAATAAAAATAAAAAATAAAAAAATCTCTGAAATCCCTATTAAGAATGATGAGATACGTAACATTCAATGTTTCTGTGAGATTGGTTAATCATGAGGCTCCAAGCGGCAAGCTAGCCTCAGACTTTCCCAAGTCCACATTTCTTTGCCTCCAATTCTTACGTGTCCAAAAACAGGCAACCACAGACACACCTTTATAGGAGGGTAACTTGATGTTCACCCAGAGCCCATGCCCCCTTTAAAGGACGCTCTAGTCTTTTGGTATCTGTACTACTGCCTCTTCTCTTCAAAGAGCTTCAAAACATATGGCCCATCCATGCCTAGTTTCCATCAGAAGTATCTTTGCAGGACCCTCACCAGCGGGTTTCTGGATCTCTAAGGACTTGCCCTTATATGTATCAAACAGGTTGAGCGAGGAATACTTCTTTCCATCCTTTCCCTTGGCAGTCGGCCCCGAGCGATCGGACATTGCGCTGGAAGCTCATTGAGTATGTTGGGTCCTGCAGGCACCTCCCCCAAAACGTGCCGGAGCCTGTGGGCCAGACAGCAAGTGTCTCAGTCTCTGTCCCCTGTACGGACCATAACAGAAGTTTAAAAAATTCCCTTGTATTCTCATTAGGGATTCAGATATGAGGCCCTCTGGTGTCTTTTCTCCAGTCTATGTAAGCTGCCCACTCTCTTTAAGCGACCACGATCGACTTATCTCCCACACAGCCCAAATGCCATGATCCCTCCTTTCCGCCAGACACCTTTGCCAAGGAAATCCAAGTAAAAATCCAGTATTCTCCTGGTATAAACACTCTGTGCCCTTTGTGCCACTCTACAAAGGGTAGCAGCCTTTTCATTCCTTACAAGTAATAATCTCTCTTCACCAAAATTATTTCAGAGACTTACAACAGGGCAACCAAATTCAAGCAAGAGAAAACTAAAAAAGCAGCATACAATTCCACCATAGAAGAACTGAAACAGCGCTTTAGATTCCCTATTTATTGGAGATCAGCTACCTAATCATACCCCAGGACCCTGTACCCCAGGTTCCCTGCCCAGCAGCCTCGTGTCCATCTGGGAAGGTTTGTAGGAAGGTATGCCGGGAGTTAAAGGATTTTATGAGCTTGCTCAGCCGGAATGGGGGTTGGTACCAGAGAAATCCTCATAGAATACTGAGGCTCTACAAACTCCCAGACTATAGGAACCCCAAGTATTTGAAATATCCCATCTTTTCCTAAACTTGCTCCTGTATTGGTTCCTGGAAAAAATCGCTTCCAGGTGAAATACTGTTTTACCATGTGAAGAACTGAGAAAAACAAAGCTTTATGGAGCCACCTTGAGAGCACTATGGGCCAGAAACAGAGGGCCAAGGCCAAAGCCATCTTCGTTTTCCTATCCTCATTAAATATGTCCATCACCAGTGTTTCTCTCCTTGATACTTCTAGCTCCCTAAGCAAGCAGGACATCTCTCTCAGTCCATTCCAGAGTGATCAGGCATTGGTCTATGGACGGAAACAGTGTAAAGAGACGAGAAATGGTGGGGAAGAAAGCAAGGAAATCCAGACAAGGCCCAGAATGAAAGCCAAAATTGGTGAGAGTGAACTTTATGACAAGCCAGAGATGAGATGAATGTAGCTTCGGAGGTATTTAAGGAGACCAATCTGTGAAAATAAATATATGAAGGGAAAAGAAAGAAAAGGATCATGTAGTGAACAGACCAAAACTAACAGAAAAGAATGAATACGAAAGCAGGTGGAAAATACATGGAAGCAGGAATGGCAACGAAAGGATGCAGAAAACGAAGAGGGCAAAGACCCAAAAAGAAAAACGGGGATGGGGCAGAAAGGAGACGAGGAATAGAAAAAATGAAAAAGCAGACACAGGGCGACTGAGCAACATAGAAAGCAAAGATGCGGGATAAAAGCAGGGTTCTAGAGTGGGAGTGGCTCGAGATGAAGAGGGGCGTCCAAAGGGGGGGACCACAGCGCTGAGTGATAGGAGGGGGGTCCAACATGGACGAAAAGAGCCCTTCGGAGAGGAGAACCTTCGGGCGCGGCCCACCCCAGGGCGGCAGCGGGGGAGGGGGCCCACAGATGGGGTTGAGAAGCCAGGAGCGCAGCAGAAGGTGGGGAGTTAAGGCCCAGGCGCAAGAGTCATCCCCTGAAGCCAAGACGGTGGGTGGGTAGGGGCAGACTGTGGATCCTGAAGGAGCGGCCGGAGGTGCGGGTCCCGGAGCAGAGGTACTAGAGGGGGAGGGGCGGGCAGGCCCGGCAGCGGAGGACAAAATGGCGGCGGTTAATGGCAGCTTCTCCTCCCCCCGGCCCGCCACCGCCGCCGTCACCGCCACCGCCGCCTCCGCCACAACCGCTCCCGCGCCGGAAAAGCGCGTCAGCGCACGGTTCACCCAGACTCACCTGGCCGGGTGCGCGGGGATCCGGGACCGGGACCTAGGGGCTCCCCGGGACGGGATGGCCGTGGGGCGGGGGAGGATGGCGGCGGATGGCGCCGGGTTCGGCTCCTCCCGTCTCCCTAGCTCACTCCGCGGCTGAGCTCCGACTAACGGCCCATCCGGGCAACCGCCGCCCCCGGGAGCACCCCCCCCACCTCCCACCTCCTTTCGCGCCTAGACACGCCCCTTTATTTGCATAAAGGGCGGGGCGCTTCCTACCCTAACCCTCTTTACTGCCAGGGCGGTCCTTAGTTTTAAAAAAAATAAAAGGGCCGGGAACGCGGAGCCGGCGGAGGTTATTTGCATAAAGAGGAGGGACTTACGAGCTCTAGGACGCCGATTGGCTGAGGAGGCGGGTCTCCCGGGGTCGGCTGTAGGGAAGTGGTCGGGGGTAGGGAATGCGGTGCAGGTCGTGTGGGCGGTTGGGACGCAGAATTTACTCGACGAATGTGGGAGAAAGAGGCGGAGCGTGCGTCGTACGTTCTTGGAAAGATGGGAGCGCAGAGACGTAGGGACGCCAAAAGTGGAAGGAAACGTTACACGGCCCATGGCGCCTTCAGCTGAGGAGACTGAGAGGACAGGGGCTGGTGGGGCGGAATTAGCAGCCAGAGGGCGGAGCTTGCGCAGACCTGGTAAGAGTTCCAGCTCTCGCGTCCCTCCAGGGGCTTGGGGTGGTGGTTGGGGGGTAAGTTGGGGCGGGGGGCGGGGCCTTCCAGTTATTAAATCACGTCATGCAAATGAGGTGAATAGACAGACCAATCCAAAGGTCCCGGGAAGCCTGTCGCCTGCACCACGCAGTGAAGGCTTTCTTCGGGCAGTGCTATATATTCGCATAATGTATGCAAATCATTTGAACAAAGATAGGTTGGGAATACCTTGTTCGTGCAAATCTCGGCAACCATCGACTAAAACGGACATTTAATTTTATAACATATCTTCGTGAATAAATTTTCATATTTGATACTGAGAATTTGTAATTTCTTAACAATGGGTTTCATTTTGCAAAATGAAAGTAGTTTACCTTCTTTGTCTCTTACTATCCGATTCTAGAGCTCTCTGCTCCCATCTGACCTACTGTCATTCAACGACTATGATTTGAAGGCGCTGGAGATATGCACAGGATATTTTAGAAGTAGAGAAATGAAATATGACTATACCTGCGATGGTTGAGAAATGCTTCTAGAAAGTTCTTATTAAGCGATATGAAGGGCAGGGCTCAGTGTCTTACGCCTGTAATCCTAGCACTTTGGGAATACTAAGGTGGCTAGATCACCTGAGGTCGGGAGTTTGAGATCAGCCTGGCTAACATAGTGAAACTCCGTCTCTACTAAAAATATAAAAATTAGTAAGCTGTGGTGGTGTGCCACTGTAGTCCCAGCTCTTCAGGAGGCCGAGGCATGAGAATCACTTGAACCTGGGGGATGGAGGTTGCAGTGAGCTGAGATAGTGCCACTGCATTCCCTCCTGGGCCACAGAGTGAGACTCCATCTCAGAGAAACAAAAACAAAAAACGAAGGCCGGGCGCGGTGGCTCAAGCCTGTAATCCCAGCACTTTGGGAGGCCGAGGCGGGTGGATCACGAGGTCAAGAGATCGAGACCATCCTGGTCAACATGGTGAAACCCCGTCTCTACTAAAAATACAAAACATTAGCTGGGCATGGTGGTGCGTGCCTGTAATCCCAGCTACTCAGGAGGCTGAGGCAGGAGAATTGCCTGAACCCAGGAGGCGGAGGTTGCGGTGAGCCGAGATCGCTCCATTGCACTCCAGTCTGGGTCACATAGGTGAAACCCCCCCTCAAAAAAAAAAAAAAAAAAACGAGAAGTGAAGAAGATTGGAGTAGATGTCTGTGAAAAATATATAAATAAATAGATACAAAGAACGAGTTAGAACTTACCCAAGTTTGAGAAGTGTACATCTCAGGTGCAGAGAACAGACTAGTAGAGGCATGAATTTGGGGGGCCTGTGCCTAGGCTGACGTGGCTAAATAAAGGAAACTACTTGTTCATTATGGAAAGTGAAGGCAGAAAAGTTTGCAGGAATCAGATGAGAATTTTAGCCTAAGGCTCAGTAAGATTTAAGATGACTCCCTGGCCGACTACCACACATACCATTTTGTTACCCTTTGCAGCAGAATTTCTTTTTTTCTCTTTCTTTTCTTCTTCTGAGATGGAGTCTCACTCTGTAGCCCAAGCTGGAGTGCAGTGGTGCGATCTCAGCTCACTGCAACCTCCGCCTCCTGCGTCTGGTTCAGGCAATTCTCCTACTTCAGCATCCCAAGTAGCTGGGATTACAGGCATGAACCACCATGCCCAAATAATTTTTGTATTTTTTAGTAGAGAGGAGGTTCACCATATTGGCCAGTCTGATCTTGAACTCCTGACCTCATGATCCACCCGCCTCGGCCTCCCAAAGTGCTGGGAATACAGGCGTGAGCCACCTCACCTGGCCAGAATTTATTTTAAGGGCTGTTCATGGACATTGTCTCCAATGAGTTTCTCCTTCCAGCCTCTCTCTCTCTTTTTTTTTTTTTTTTTTTTTTTTTTTTGAGTCAGAGTCTTGCTGTGTCACCAGGCTGGAGTGGCTGGAGTACTGTGGCAAGATCTTGGCTCACTGCAACCTCCGACCCCCTGGTTCAAGCAATTCTCCTGCCTTAGCCTCCTTTGTATCTGGGATTACAGGCACATGCTAATTTTTTTTTTTTTTTTTTTGAGATGGAGTCTT